AAAGTCAAAGCATTTATTTCAATTAAACCATAGTTTGGTACTTTTGAAACGTCAACAAATACAAAATAAATAATAGTCTGTCAGTCAGTCCGTCAGTGAAGCTAGGTGAAGCTAGGTGCTCATTCCAAAACGTAGATTCGAATGGAGAAGAACGAGCAAGAAACTCCATTCGTTACTCTTTTAAAAAAGTATGTTCTACAATGTCTCTGATACATATTTCAATACTGTACGCATATGTAAGAACAATGCAAAGACACGCTTGACGCATTATACTACTAACTTACTAAAATAAAAATAAAAATAATAAAGATCTTAAGTCCAACATGGTGCTCACATATGCATACTGACAATCCATAGAAATAGTGCTTCTATACAAGAAAAAGGAAACTCTTTGTTTCAATAAAGAAAGAAATGCTCGATGCCATAAGGAAACTAGATTGTCTACATTAGAATTAAAGTATTAAATTATGTATTATATTACCTACTATTGGAATTTAACTACTGACTACATTTGAGTATTGTCCAGTGGAGCCGAACCAACATGCTGCCAAGCATTCTTATCTTCAAGATAATCTGTCAGTGTGTAGTAAGCTTGATTACATAATTCGCGCTTAATATATGTTTTAAATTTACTTTCATTGAGATCTAGTATGCTATTTGGTATTTTATTATAGCATTTAATACCTAACCCCATAAAGGATTTCTGTACTTTGGACAGTCTGAATTGCAAAATAGTGAAAAGTGGGTGTTACGTTGTACAGTTCCTCTGCCTACCCCTTAGGTTTATTATAATATTCTGTATCAGAAGTAATTACCTTTGTATACTAATAAAAGTTAATTATAATAATTATTGTTTAAAGACACTGCCGGAAAATTGATATTTTTAATCACAACTAAACATTCACTTTTATTTAGTTCCTCTACTCGACCATAGATGGCGCTGTCCATAGATCCCGGAACAAAGTGTATAAAAATGCCTGTGGGTATTGATTCAGTTTGAAACCGCAGCTGAAAACACGCTAAGTACTGATTGATAAATTGTTACATGCTTGCTCTACAGTTGTACAGTCAACATGATATATTTTCTTATAACTCGAAAGTTATTTTTCATTGTATTACACTCCAATTATTTGTTGCTAATATGAGGCAATTGAAACAATTTTTATTTAGATGTTACGCTTGTGGTTTATAGACATTAAAATAAAACATTTTTTTCGTAAAATAATCGCCAAACATTATTAGGTACTTACATAAATAAAAATCTAAATACCCACGACATTGGTTTCCCTGACACAAAGATTCTCTTTCTACCGTCCTCTGGGTATAATCTCCGCTCTATGATCATTACCTACCTACCTATGGAGCCGTTACCAGTTTCCTACCTTCTTTCATAGAATAAATAAAATACGTACATACCATAGGGAAATGGCACTTTATTTTATTTGAATAAGCTATTCTTAATTCATTATAAACGTGCAAATAACTTCGCCAGTACCGAACGAAGAATGTTGCTCTTAATAGTACCTACATCACCGAGACAGCGGAAGTTACTGGCAGAGTACAAGATCAATCGATTGATTAGCTTTCCTTACAAGTCGAGCAAGCCTACGCCGACCTTGATTCAATGAATTCCTAAGATGAAATCAACATCTACCTGAGCAACAAACCACTGACCATATTTAGTCATACGCTCACCGTACATCGTACAATTTCTAACTGAATGCAACATTATTTAACAATAACATATCAGTCAGAACTTCGTAAAATTGAACAAAAATAACGATGAGTCAAACTTTGTTCTCGATTGCGCGAAATCGGACGTCCCATTACGTTCGCCAGCTACTGAATCAGCTGCGTGAAAAAATCAATACTGCGCGCGTTACATGAATTCATTCCGCATTTAAACTCTATCGTGACATAAATACACCTTTTATGTGAGTGTTTTGAACACTTTAATTCTCAATTGTAGTTGTTTTATTGAAAATTAGTCATACTTTTAAGTTAACAGCGTTAATTAGACTGACGAAATTAAATTAACACCGCAGTGAACGTAGCCACAGGTGTAATTGCTGCATTAGATCAAGAACGCACCAGATGGCGCAGTAGTACTCGTGATGTTGTTACATACCGTATGGGCGTGTGAGTGCTTGTGTAAAAAAAATAGTGTTTTGTGTTGTTTTAAGCGCTAATGGAGAACGGAAACGGTAAGAATAGTTATATGTCATGCCAAATTTTCATATACGGTAATCACAACTCTGCCGACTTTACAGAAAACCCGTAGGAAACGAGAATTCTTACATCTGTCCGATCAGACGTATAACCCGACTGAATTTGGGTCGTGTCATTATCGATGCACTTCCTAGTGGTCGCGTCGTTTTCAATTCGGCGGGGTTATATTCCCGCCATCTTGTGACTTGAGCTTTCAGGATTTCGTATAAATATATCGATCGGAAGCTTTGTGTAACCTAATTTCTTCGTTATTCTCATTCTATATGAAGCTTAGCGTCTACTACGTGCTGAAAACTAATGGTGATTGCTTGTTTTCATGTTGGAATTGCCGCCGCTAGGTTTTGTTGACATAGAGTTACGTGTAGTTTTCAGTTTAAAAATTGATTAATAGGCGTTTTTTGGGAGGAAGCCGTGTAAAATTCCAATAGGACGCTTACTCGAGTTGGGACTATTGTTAAACATTAATTTAATTGTTAATGGTGTTGGTAGTTTACGTGTGTTCTGTCGGCCTTGCTTGAGGCGCCTACATGAGCGCGAGTGACATCAGATTTCTTAAATAGATTTACTAAAAGAATACTTTGTTTTTGGTGGATGTTACTACGTTAAACGTTCGCCTCGACTCGTTTACCTTTGAATACAACATTTGAATAACTTCAATGCTACATCAGACTATGAATTTGAGCCAAAATCATGATCGATAAACTTTAAATGTAGATGACCTAATGTCTAGATGTACGCATTGCCTAACATTTTTAAATTATTATTACTGATGACATGTTTATTTTAAAACAATTGAGTGTCAGTTGTTTTCATGTAGTTATCATTTGTTTTTAAAAAGCTAGGTCTTTCTAAATATCTGAGACCTAACCTATACAATGAAATCTTGTTTTGTTCTAAATTACCTACTGGATGCTGACAGTACTTCAATGAACCATGAATAATTTAATGAATATGATGATTAATTCTAATGCTCTCATAGTGGTGACTAATATATATATAATGATATTGAGAAAACATTATGAATTATTTTCATTGAATAACAAATTACAATGGCATTATTTTATTCAATTTGTCACATATTGACTATAAGGTAAACAATGGTCACAAATACTACAATACCTACCAAATAAATACTAGAAATATTGGTAACAAATAACTCTAATTTAACTTACTGAGTAAGAACCATTTCTTTATTTTACTGTCCACAGATGATAAAGATATAATCTTTTATATTATACATGCAGTTTTACCCAGTGCTTGACTCCTATCAATCTTAATGTGATGTTTTAGCCTATAGCTTTCCTCGATAAATTAGCTATGGAACATAAATGACTAAGTTATTCAATTGGGACTGGTAGTTCCGGAGATTAGCCCATTCAAATGGACTCTCCAGCTTTATAATATATTATAATAGTATAAGATTAACAATTATAAATAAATATTATAGAGGAGGACAAGAATTTAGATTCCGTTGGGGGCTATAAGAATAGGTTTCCTGCGGGTCGCTGTTTGACAAGGTCAAACCCGAGAAGAAGATACCTTTACATATTAAAATAGTATGCAGATAGATTTCTGTACCGGTATTCATTGTTACAAGTTAAATTTTCAATCTAGTTATCTATATCCAGCTAATTAAACTGTCAAACACCAAGCGGTCACCGGTGACCGCAACCTATTGTTCTATAATGACGGTACTCGACGAGTTAATTCGACATAAAATTGAAATCACATCCAAATAAATCTGTAATTGACTTTGTTATTATTAATATTATAATTATTTCCTCGTCATATCAACTGCTACATAAATTAATGTATTATTTTAGTAGTTAAATTGGTTACTGCTATTATATATATTAACGCTATTAATTAGTGCTTGATAGGAATTAATTTGATATATAACTAATACAATTGAGACCACTAGCGTTTATAATTTTTTCAGTTGTTGATAATTATTTCGGGTTTATTTTGATATGATTGAATTAATTGATAACAGATGCCTTATTTGTATATAGGTAATTCTTTTATAAACTATGTTTAAAAAAATTGACTGCAATCCAGCCTTTATTTAAGTTGGTTAATTAAAAGGTATTCTATACTTTCTCCTAAGTATAACAAACACTTCTGAAAACCGCATCAAAATCGGTTCAGCCAATCGCGAGATAATCGCGCACAAACATACGTGTCGAACTGAGAACCTATTTTTTCTTTTTGAAGTCAGTTAAAAGACAATTTAGTTACCTACTTTTAAAAAGTGACCATTTTTTTGTTGTCAAAGGAATATTTTTTTAAAGTTATAGATTATAATAAAGTTATAGATAGGATTTAACAAAATGAAAAAAAAAAACACTTCCAAGATGATCTAGGTAACTAATTCATTTAATTAAATGAATGTCATGAGTGCCATGTAATAGAGACCGGGCACATTTCCAGACTCCATGCTACTACTGAGATTTTAAAAAAAACCCTTAATACTTTGCCCAACCCGGGAATCGAAACAGAGACTTCTTGCCGGGCAATCACACTTGCGACCACTCGGCCAACAAGGCAGTTTGTATTTCAAATATGATATTAAACTACATATAGTTACAACTGCTTGCAATAGAAAACTTTAAACAAAGAAATTACCCAAATAACACCATTCTTATAACATTGACAACATAATTATAATTATACAAAACAATACTACAACTAAAATTATATACTAAAATTATAAATTCAATGCAATTTTCAACTACATCTTTACAATAATAAGGTTGCATTCCGAATGCTCTGCCTGTACCCCGCAATGATATCGTATCTCCATAGCAATAAGGTTGTATGTCGTATAGCAAGTTATATGGTGGGCGCTAAGATTCTGTCATACATTTATGGACGTGCCGATAAAATGCCGCACGTACCGCATCCATACATGTGACTATGCAAATATAGTGTAATCATTATTGTATTGTAATTAATATGTATTTAATTCATTATGTACTACATACTATATTACTAGCGTCTGCCCGCGGCCTCGCCCGCTTTACCGTGGGATAAACAGTCGCCTAGTTATGTGTTATTTTAAACCATAATCTATCCCTGTTCCAAATTTCAAGCCGATGCCTTCAGCCCCCCCCTTTCCATTTCCCAATCCCTGAATCCACAATAATCGTCAATTCCCTAATCCCAATAGACCGGTAAGGCACCTGTAACGCCTCTGGTTTTCCAGGTGTCCATGGGCATTGCCGATTGCTTACCATTTATTATTAATTAGAAAAAAATATACGATAATACGATTTTTTTTTTTCAATATACTATGCGTCAATTATCAAAAATTGTTTAACATGATTGTATAACCTAAAAATAGGTATATTAAAACAGCATAAAGTACTTTATTTCTAACAAGAAGGCTATAAAAAGGCGGTATCTAAATAACTGAGTACAGAAGTCGTTGGTTTCTATAAGGCTTCTTAGATTATGGGCCCTAAGAATAGTCTGTGGAGTTATATTTACAATAGGTAGTACCTACACCAGTTGCGTAACGCCTTGACGCCAACTTACCAATAAGGAAAAGGTGTTAAAGCATTTAACTAGATAACGAACGCTTTGTTGAAATACATGAATTTTTTTGTAGGAATCTTGAAACAGACTAGTTAATTGGTCAATTTTTGAAAGACCTGTGTTTCTGACTTTTTTTCAGGTAAAGTTTTCGGGCCAATACGATGAATCCCCGTTTTTGCTTTCTCACAAGGATTAGCTTACCACAAAATCAAATAAACTGTAAAATTAAAGCCTACCGCCTGAATACTGAATGGCTACTCAAGTTTAGATTGTACTTAAATTCATCATCTCTGTCAATTTACAAAGAATTTGTAGGGTAACTATACTTTAGCGCGACTTAAAAATGAATGGCGTTTGAGTATTTCAGCGTAAGCTAAATAATATGTAACTTACAAGTTTGTAAACTTTACCATCGGTAATGTAATAAACTTGCTGTAATCAAAAAAACTTAATCGCTAAACGAAATGTGATTCTGACGACCATGCCATACTATAGTGATTGGTGTCCTTGGTCCCCGATAAACTCAATATTAAAAAAAAAAACAATTTTGCAAAAATACTCTTGTCCAGTGTACGATTAGTTATATTCGTTGAAAAAAATATTGTATCACAATTCACATCCCACACACCAAACTGTTTATTTTTATTTTCAAATATCTTCTATCCGTACAGATTTTTGTTTGCTGATAAAAATACGACTGATAACAGTTCGTTGACTCGCTGATACTGTCATCTCAATGTTTGTAATGTTTTTACGTACATTTGGACAAACTAGATCGCCAGCATCCGTTGAGGCTAACTCGCTGTCATAATAATAATAAAACGATTTCGAAATTGTAAATCCATCATTATCTTTTAATATGTTTACTATAATCCCAACGCTCTGGTGACTTGGGGATCTCGGTTAGATCACCGATTTAGAAGAAACAGCTACCCACCCGCAATGACTGGATGCAAGTTTGGGGATTTCTATTAAATCTCCGAATAAGTAAGAATGATGACTGGATACAAATTCCCAATTAAATGAAGGTTTTTCCCATTAATTTCTGTTACTAGACGTGACTAATAACTTTCCACAAATATTATAGCAAACGGCCGAAGTTGAGTCGTAACACAATTGTAGTAAAATAAATAGGGCGCACCAAAATAACACAGGAAGTCAGATTTCGACATGTACCTGCTGGGATCGCTTGGAGACGTCGATTCTACAGCTGGACCGTTTTACACGGCCACTGGTGGGAAATATGTTCATTAAGAGAAAGCTGTAACCTTTGATGCTGATGAATATGCGGAAGGACTACCTATAAAGCTTTACATAATATTTTTATTGGATCGAAAAGCACGGAATTAAAAGATTCACAGATGAAATACTTCTAGCAATAGCTGTTAATACAAAATAAAAAAAAATCATAAAAACGACTTATTTTTGAACTTTGTGA